TTTGTTTTGTGATAACAGTGCATATAATCCCGGGTTGATTGAGAATTTCATATGCGTACGTAATAATAGCGAATCCTTTCTTATTGCACATTTACAACATAAACCTACATACAAAATTTCAGCCTACGAAAATATAGCGGTACAGAGAAACAGAGGTGAAAAGGTAATTTTCATATGTAAATACGCCCCTTTTAGCCCCAAGGGGGGCGCCTCAATTGGGATATTTGAAAATCCTTTCTTAGTTCGCATCTAAGCCCTAAGAAGCACCTATGGACCAAATTTCAGCTTCCTAGGACTCACCAGCACGGATAAACATAGATGAAAGATGATAGAAGCCGTTTTAGTGAAGGTTGACTCATTTATTTATTTATTGCACGATTGGAAAATGTATTTCCACTCGTGCAATACAAAAAAATCCTCATTTTACATATGAAAGATAGTTTACATTTGAATAAGTACATCACACTAGTAACGAATATGAGAAAAACATTAAATAAACGATATACGAAAAACCGATATGAATAAAAATAGATTCCACATCGTTTATTTAAGGAAAGGTAACCTAAGTTTTTCAATATCGTTGCAATAAGTATTGAAGGATCTGACAATTCTGCATGAAGGAGAGTTTCTACCTGAGTTGGTTTTTCTAAATGGAGTAGTAAAGAGATCCTGAATCATGACTCCGACGAGTGTTAAGAATCACACTTTAAAAGGTAAGACCTCGTTAATCCATAGTTCGCACAAGTTTCAACTTCTGATGGTTGTCGTTCGTAGGGCTATGACAGCTGGTTAACGAAAAAACAGATTTTAAACAGACAGATTTTAAACAGTCATCGGAGATAACTCAGGATGTATAAACCTTTCAAGAAGCTAGCAACTCGCGCCAGCGAAATGTCAGGAAAAAACCAGAAAAATTGTGACACTGAGTTGAGGCGTCAGGCCCTGATGAAGTAACCGTCATGGTACTTAAAAAGTGCGCAAATTAACTCGCACCAGTATTTTGCAGACTTTTCAACCTGTCATACAAGGGAGGGGTTTTTTCTTCTTGTTGGAAAACAAGCCTATTCCCAAAAAGGACAAGAAAAATCTTCCAAATAACTATAGACCAGTGGCTTTGCTATCAGTGATATCAAAAATCATGGAGGAAGTCGTAAACCACCATTCGGAAGGCTTCAACATCTTGAGCGATCATCAATATGGCTTTCGGAAACAAAGATCAACAGACGACCTTTTATCGTATGTCACACATATTTGGCACGATGGAACGTCAGTTTCAGCTTAACGTTGACGACAACGACGACATCGACCGCGATATTCTGCTGGAAGATCGGGTTCACCGCATCCTCAGGGAGGATGATGATGATGTCATTCGTCCGGCTCCTGTGGAAGAATTAAAGGGCTATATCAAGGCTGCAAAGGCCAAGAAAGCTCCGCGGGTTGACTCAATAACAAACAAGTTATTGAAGAAGCTCCGGTTGAAGAAGCTGCGTTGAGAGCCTACTGTCTATCATAAACAGCTCACTGGCTATAAGATACTTCCCCAGAAGGTGGAAACATGCGATCGTCGTCATGCTCCCAAAACAGTGGCAGAACCGACTTTTCCCGCAGAATTATCGCCCGATTAGTCTGCTCTCGTCGGCGGCTAAGCTGGCTGAAAGAGTCGTACTTCAAAGGCTCAACGAAGAAGTGGAGGATCGAAATGTTCTGCCTGACGAGCAATTCGGATTCAGAAGAGAGCATTCCACTGAGTTGCAGGCTCTGAGACTGGTCGAAAACACCATCGCGGAGTTGAACAGGAACAAAAAAGTCCATTTAGTTCTATTAGATATTTCGAAGGCCTTCGACCGCGTCTGGCATGAAGGCCTTCTTCACAAACTAATCGCATTCGACCTGCCTCGGGGCCTGATCCGGTGGATTGGGTCTTTCCTGAAAGACAGAACATTCCAGGTTAGAGTAGAGGGCTCTCTGTCTGATTACAGAGAGATCCTTGCTGGAGTGCCACAGGGGGCCGTGCTCTCTCCCACGCTTTACTCCCTTTACACCAGCGACCTTCCGAGGTCCGAGCATGTGAAGGTATCTCTCTACGCCGACGACACGGCTCTACTCTCGTCTTCCATGGGTCGGGAGCTCGGGATCGTCTATATGCAACGTGCATTGGGCGACCTCGAGCGCTGGTACCTCGAGTGGAAGATCCGAGGGAACCCGGAAAAAACTCAGGCGATAACAAAGGGAAGTACTACATCTTCTCCGGCTATGAAAGTGAGAATCCCTGGAAGGGAGATTGACTAGCAGACGCGGGTCAAGTACCTCGGTCTTCTAATAGACCGTAGGCTCACCTGGAACCCGCACCTGTTGAGCGTGAAGGCAAAGATCCAGGGTCAGGTGGCAAGCCTGTACTCTTTGATTAACAGAAAATCCAAGTTAAGCCTAAAGAATAAACATCTCTCTAAACATAAACGGCTCCGACTAACATCTCCATCCTGGAGACCTTACAAAATAAAACTCTACGGATGATTGGTGAATGCTCCGTAGTTCGTGCGGAATGAAGCCATCCGCAGATATTTGAAGCTGCCTTCCATTCAGCAGTTGATCCAGTCGAGGAATCGGCGAGTTTTAGATTACGCTGAAACTCACGACAATCCGTTAGTCAGGGAAGCTATAGATTACGCCGTAGACGACCCCTCTCGATATAAAAGGCCCCGACACTCTGTCGAATGAGGCTCCTATGTCCTCCGTTAACAGATGAATAATATCTTCATCCATCTCACCCCAGCCAGGTAGGGGTACACCGCGAAGGGCGGTATGGATGTCAGAGGATGTCTGATTTTGGACAAGTTGGAGCCTGGCTCCCTTACGCTTTTGACTGATGTATGTCAGAGGGACAAATGGGTCATAACTGATGACGGGATGGCGACATGAATGTCCTCAGACATCAGTACCACCCTTCACGGTGTACCCCTACCTGGCTGGGGTGAGATGGATGAAAAGATTGTTCATCTTTTAACGGAGGACATAGGTGCCTCATTCGAAAGAGTGTCGGGGCCTTCTATATGGGAAAGGGTCGTTTACAGCATAATCCATAGCTTCCCTAACTAAAGGATTTCCATGAGTTTCTGCGCAATCAAAAACTCGCTAATTCCTCGACTGAATGGACCGCCGAATGGAAGGTAGCTGCAAATCTCTGCGGATGGCTTCATTCCGCATGAGCCAAGGAGCATTCACAAGCATCCTTATTAACTTATTTTGCAATCTCTCCAGAATGGAGATATTAGACGGAGCCGCTTGTCTCCAGACGCCTGAAGCATACATGATGACAGACTTAAAAATCGTGTTGTAGATGGTAATTTTGTTTCTGAGACTCATTTTTGACTTCCTGTTGATCAGATGGTACAGACTAGCTATCCGAACCTCGATCTTTGTTTTAACGCACATAATGTGCGGGTTACCAGCGCTTGCCAGTTGATCTTCCTTCCAGAGATTCTCACTTTTCTGGCCGGAGAAAATAGCAATCTTCCCATGGTTATCGCCTGAGTCTTGTCAGGGTTCACTCGGATCTTTCATTCAAAGTACCAGCGCTCGAGGTCGTCCAATGTACGTTGCATGTAGACGACGCCGGGCTCCCGACCCATGGAAGATGAGAGGAGAGCCGTGTCATCGGCGTATAGAGATATCTTCACAAACAATATGCACTTTTTTGTTTGTGTTCAGCTCTTGAATGGTGTTATCGACCAGCCTTGGAGCCTGTAACTCAGTGGAGTGTTCTATCCTGAAGCCAAATTGTTCGTCAGGCAGAACATTGCGGTCCTCAACTTCTTCGTTGAGTCTTTGCAGAACGACTCTTTCAGCCAGCTTAGCCGCCGACGAGAGCAGACTGACCGGGCGATAGTTCTGTGGGAACAGCAGGTTCTGACCGTGTTTTAGGATCATGACGACGATCGCATGCTTATCTCCACTTATTCAAATCCAATGTGAATCGCTACTTTCGCACAGGCACCGCACTTAGAGCGCCTTAAGGATTTCCCTGTAGTGCTTGTGTTTTGTCCATGAAAAAATAAAATTCAAGCAACAATTGGGAATTGAACAATAAAAAAGAAATTGAAATACTTATGACAAGCCAAGTTACTCCGGGTGATGACGGTCATCACCCGAAGACGATTGTGGATACTAACAATCGAAACGTCGTGAGGTAACTTGGCTTGATTAAGTGTATTCAGCTTTTCCAAATCAATCTTTCTTTTTCTTTTGCTTAATTCAATTGTTATTTTCAGCTATTCATTTTGATTTTATTAATTCGTTCAAGGATTTCAAACCATTTTATATCATATTAGACAATGGCAGTCCGAAATAATGAAATTCATCACGAAACATTGTCAATCACCTTCAAACAAACATTTATAATAGTGTTTCGAACAAATCTACCAATTTTGAGCTGGGTGCGAATTTTTGTTCCTTCACTCCTATTTTTTTATTCAATTTGACCGGATAAATGATACCTGTATCCCCATACATGAAATTTTTTGAGCTGAACTGCCCCCATAGTCGTTTTCATACTACATGTTGACTCAAATTCCAGGAGCCACCCTGTATCGAAAGGTGTCTACATAAAAAAACAAATTTTCAAGCCCACCATGAAAGTAATATTCACTCAGATCGGGAATAACTCATTTAGTATCTGAACTCATATCGGCGATCGACGTAATTATGACCCACCCCCATCGGATCGGCCAGCGACATCGTCCAAAAACCGCCCCCTTGCCTCCGGCACTCGGCACCGGCGTCAATGTGGGAAATTTCGAAATTTGGTTACGGGCCCAACACGCGCCACCCGTACAACAAATCATCCGCAGAATGAATGAAAAACACTAGACAAAGATACCCTTATCGGGGTGAGTAACGCACACGAGGAAGAAGTCGCGTGGATTTCCGACTGCCGGGTGGGGGTAGAGTGGGGGTAGAAACGTGGCTGAACGTTGGTTGATCAACAGGGTAGGGACACATTCAACGTTTACAATCGACGGTGCAACACGCGCGTGATTCTGACTGACAGACGTTTGACACGCGACTTATTTCCGATCTTCATCTTAGACACAAGTGCCGACTTAGTGCCAGTGATAGTGACCTATTTCTGAAATGGATCATTCTTTATCTCAGAACACTCCGCTGCACTGGGGTTACTCCAGCAACAACCCTCCGGCTTCATCTTGGCCGACAGTGTCCAGAGGGGTCAAGAGACCCATGTCTGACAGTGACTGTGATGATGTCTACTCAGAAGAATCATCCAAAGACCAGTAAGTTTTTTGAAAAATTTTCCGCACCAGCTCAATCCACTCAACACCAAAAACTTGCAGATAAAGAGAATCCAGAACTCAGCCTGGATCTTCTTTGCTTTGCATTTTTTTGACAAAAATTAATTGAATACATACTTCGAAGTGTCAAGTCAACATAAGTAGATTCTACTCAATGTTTCACAGTATGAATCAGTTGCATGTCCGGCCAAGTATCCAAAGTGTACCAAAACCTCTGCTAACTTTCGAAGACAGTCACAAGAAAATACAAAAGACACTCAGTTTTTATCGTTTCTTGTAGAGTTTTCAAAAAAGGAAGTTTTTACACAACATTCAATTTTTATACTACACCAACGCTGTTCAGCTAAAGCGAAATATGTATTCACATCAGCAGAAATGTTAGACATATACAGGGTGTTTGAGAAGAGACAGTTTTCACTTTGTCTTGTACAAAACTGTCAAACAGCCAAAACAAATATTTTTGCTCGAGAGCCATCATTCAACTACACTCTACCTTGGTATATTTATAATAATTCAAGTTGTAAACATACGCTTTCCACAAGAAAATGCGCTTTTTTACTGAAACTCAATTCATTAGTACAACAAAAATGTCTTTCCACTGTCCAGAAGTTCTGATTGGCAATATAACTGACTCCGAAGAAATAAATACCGAATGAATTTTATACCGTCTTTCTTTACAGATGCACATCTCCTGGTGACGCTGATAGTTGTCAAATGTTATCCAGAAAGAAAAGAAGAGGTGTGATAGAAAAGAAACGAAGGGACAGAATTAATATGTCGCTTAGTGAACTGAAGAGACTCGTACCAAGTGCCTTTGAAAAGCAGGGATCTGCCAAACTGGAGAAGGCTGAAATCCTGCAGATGACTGTGGACCATTTGAAAATGCTTCATTCTAAAGGTAGGTTCAAATTATAGTTCAAAAGTGACGGCGTAAATTATGTCTAGAGGAACGTCGCACACAAATTATTTCAAGAATTATTTCAGTCATCGAAAAGTTAAGAACGGTTATTTTACACAACCATTAGAAAAAGTATAAGTTTTCTCTTCAAGAGAACGATAAAACAGTCGAACTTTGATAAATAGAGTATATTTTTACTAATATTAAAATACGTATACACTACATCAGACTTACATTACTATAATTTAGAAACTTTTTATTTTCTTTAATCTATGTTGAGATCCATTTTCCTGCATGTCTACCAATAAAAAATTTCTCATATAATGTGGAATAAACGATAATATTATACAGAGTGGCTAATTAACTTCGTAATACATGGGATATTTTTAATAACAGATTCATTGAATCTGTTATTTCGGCTTCAGTCGAGATGAAAGTTAATAATAAAAAAATTGTATTCAATTCAGTCGAAACTGTTAATTTTTTTTAATCCAATTAACCCAAAACTAAGATAATTCCTGAACAAAGTTTTTGAACAAAGATTTTCCAAATGCAATTTTTTGCTACATATGTCCGTTTTTTGTAAATTGCACCTCTGTTGCAAATTAAGATCTAACGTCACTTACATCATACTCTTCAGTTTTAATAATGCTCCATTCAAATCCAAATAGGACATTTTTATTCCTGTATAAGGTAAATTCATAAAACAATTCGTGTCTCAAAGTAGTGAACATTGTTATTGAAAATAGTGTTTGATTGAAGAGAGTAGATTTTTCTTAATGAAACTAAACAGATTTTTCACAAAATTCAACATATATTCATTGTCCATTCAACTTTACCGATGACACTGTTTATTTGTTTGTCCTAATTATAATGTTATGTAGGTTGCGTTGCGTCTTATTTTTCAACAATATATATTTAAAATCTGTCTTTCCGTTAACCAGCTGTCGCATCCCTACGAGCTGTCGAAACTTGTGCGAGCTAAAGACTAACGAGGTCTTACCTTTTAACGTGTGATTCCTAACACGGGTTGGACGATAGCAAGTGAAAATCATCTTGACTGGAGCTGAATCTGATGCTAAAGTCAAATTTTGAATAAACCTGTATATATTTTATATTTGTTTGTAAAGAGGAAAAACTTCATTTATTTTTCTAACGTTTCAGATACATCGTTAGAAATATATATTTTTCACTTATTGATTGATCTGATATGAACCATATTACCAAATATTTCAATCATGAAGAAGATGCATATATAATATCCTTCAAGAAATGTCATCAAGATGATGATAATATACACATACACATTATTCATGAATCATTTTATTATCTCATTACGAACTTAATTGTTTAGAACTGTTTAGATCAAAACGTATCACGTCATATGATCGATAGTTTGTAAACACACTGTTTACCGGAAAATACGGGGAAAAATATTAGGATTTCCTTTGTTTTTTCCCAAGTTAAACCATCCAAGCAAACTTCTCACTTATGCCGTTCTCACAGATTAAAAATCAAAACAAATACGTCCATTCATAACGTTAAACCAACGAAAACGTTAGAGTAACGCTTTACACGCTTATTGGTCAGTGCCACCCATTTAGGTAGCAGGTGAATACTTTTAAAAAGGGTTAATCTACGGTGCGTGGGAATATGCGAAGGGCCAGCTGTGCTACAAACCCATACAGCGTAGAGCCCGTGGGAACTCTCACTCATCGATTCGTTGATAACTTGCAACAGGTTTGTTTTATTAACCGCGTGGCCAAATCGACCGGAGGGCACTTAACCTTAGATTCGCTGACTTCTAATCAGCCCTCAGGCGTTATAGGAGTATTGCGTTGAGTCTCCGGGTACTAATTACTGTAGCTCCGCAAAAAAGAAACATTTCCCTTTTTAATTCACTTTCAGTTATGATATTGGAATGTTTTGACTGCATTTATGATCTAACTTATAAAATTGAGTCACAAAATCGTGTTAGTTACACATTCATTACAGAATAACTAAAAGAACATTTGAATAACTAGAAAACAATCAAAACTTAAACAAATTTACGAACCAATCCACTGCGTATGAAGAAAAAATCGCACGAGAGGAGCGCTTTAAATCTACTGCTAAGCAAGAGCTTGACCTGGTGATACTGGCCGTGTTAGTATCATCCAACTTCATCTTTACACACTTTACATATTTATTAATTCTTAGGCGATTAAAAGTTTACCTGGTCAGTTAGTAGAATCAATGAAAAAAAAGGACTGAAACAATTAAAGATTGAAATATTGAAGTAACTTTTTAGGTCTGTATAAATTAACTGTCGCGTCAAGGTACATAAATATTCATCACTAGACACTAGCTAGATCTTATAGTAAATTTGAGTAATGTAGTCTATATAATACTCAATATCCCTAAGCCTAATAACTATATGATTTTCTTAAAAAGCTGGGTTATTTTGTATTCCAGCTTCAACACAAACACATTAGATCATTTTTCAGTATCCAGACATAAGTTATTTGCGTCTAATGAGGTGTCACTTTAAGTATCATTTTGCATATTGTTTTTCAAGAACACAAAATCATCACTATCTTAAATTAATGTTATATCACTTGCAAATGATGTTATCGACACATCCAGATTTAATTATGTGACTGAGTCAGGGAATAATTGGAAATAACGATTGTCCAAGGATGGATCCTTGCGTTACCCTTTAAATATAATTTTTTTAAGTAACATTAATATCGCCGAATGTAACATTTTGTGTAAAGCTTTCTGTATAAATACTTCCAGAAGAAGCTACAAGAAAAGTAACGGAAGGAGTCAAATTGTTGATCTAGGAAATACCAAAAGTGAGTGCCACAAGGGTCAATATTGGGGCCACTTCTGCTTCTAATCTATATCAACGACCTGCCTCACGTGATAAACTCGTCAGACATAGAAACTATATTGTATGCAGATGATGCAACCTTGAGCAAAAAAATATATAAAATAGATGATCCTCATATGATCCATACTGACATATGAGAGAAAACTCGATCATGGTTCACACCAAATGACTTTATTCTCAATGAACAAAAAAAGAAACTCTAACTTATGAAACAGTTTGTTTGAATCGACATAACAAAAATTCTACAAGATTTTTGGGAGTACAAATAGATTCCAACCTGAAATGGATAGACCAAATACATAACATGTGTAGTAAACTTAGTAAGACAGTTTTTGCTATCCGAAGAATTAAAAAAATAGTAAATCAAAGTGCGGCACTTGCAACATTTAATTCACTTTTTCATTCAGTCCTTAGGTATGGTATAATCAATTGGAATAAAGCATCAAAGGTACATCTTGATAGAATATTTGTCATTCAAAAATCTGCAGTAAGAAGCATAATCTCTGCCAATTATGATGAAAAGTGTCGACCAATATGTGAAACTTAAAATAATGACCCTATATTCAGTTATTGTCTATGAAAATCTGCTTCCTTTATATGAAATTGATAAATTTTTCAAAGTTATTCAAGAAGAAAGAGACACTTTTGTGGTCACCTCCTGAAATTTTACTCAACTTTGAATATATAAATAATACGTTAGCTATTTATAGTGGATGTTCAAATAATCTTTCATTTTAAGATTATCCTTCTCCAAAATCACAGTTAGATATAAAACGTACAACATTCTGATACCACCACATAAATTTTCGAGGAAAAAAGTGTGAGATTTGCAACAACAGAAAAGAATAGAGCTGACTGATCAACTATTTGCTTTTGTTGCAGGTTTGGACTCCTTCGCTTACGACCCTCATAAGTACGCAATGGACTACCATGGTATGGGATTCAGGGAGTGCGTTGCTGAAGTGGCGAGGTACTTAGAACGCATCGAAGGGTTGGACGTACAGAACCCCTTGCGGTTAAGACTCACCTCCCACCTGCAATGCTGTGCTGCTCAAAGGGAACTAGCCTCAAAACAATCGACAGCTGCTCCATGGGGCTACGGCAGCTCGCAGCCACCATATCCCCCACTGAATTCACTACCTCCGTCTCCGGCATCCAATCATGGACCGATCGTCAATCTGAATCCACACCAACCCCCTCCACCCCCACCTTTACACCATCAGAATATGCATCACGATCTGGGACATTTTGACGTGTCTACCTCATGTGCCCAAACGACAGTTCCAGTTCCTTCCAGTGATAATAATAGACTAGCCCCTTCAACGGCGATACTGACGCCTCTGACCACCACAACGTCCTCGGCTTTGGCCTACAACCCCCATCAGTACCCAGTGAACACCTTCAGTATTCCTCCTTCGAGTCACCACCAAAACTACAGCCAAGGTATCCCCACGTCGCAGGGGATGAAGCCTTATCGGCCGTGGGGGGCCGAAGTAGCGTATTGACTGTAAATCATAGTGATAGAAGTGGCCTTTAGTGTGTTGAGTTCGGAACAGGAAATAAAAATTAAGGCAAATCAATCCATTTGACAAATTTTTACTTTTGATGAATCAATTGAATACAACTGTTGAGAACTTTGGAAAGAGACACCAACTTTATTTCATTATCATGGAAAAATGAATCAGCAAAAAAGTACAATGGAAATAATAATAATATAGAAGAAATAATTTCAGTTACTTCCAAACCTTCAGATACGAAGAAACAGTTCCTTTTTATCAACAAAAAACGATTTGATATTGTTAATCGACTAATTTTATATAAAATGTCTTTACTTCTTTTTCCTTGTTCCCGAATTCGTTGCTTGTGTATATATCTGCCTTATCTTACAAAAATAATTCCAGAACATAGTCATTTTATTGTACCTTATTTGAACGAATCGAATATTTATTTATTTTTTTAGTGTATCATAGTTAGGATTACGAAATGAGCCAACTGGCAATGTATTTTTTATACAAATATGATCTCACAGAGTGTAAAAAGTTTATTGTGATTTCCTGGTGTTCCAGCAATAAAAGTTATTCGAAAATGTATGATTTCATTATTCTCACATTCAGAAAAACCAAAGTTCCTAATCAGTTCCTCATTATCTCCTGATGATTACTATTTACATTAGGAAGTGAAGTAGGTCACGACCGGTGTCTAGCAGACTATTTGCTGCTTCCGGCTTCACTGGCAGTGATCTGTAGGTTAACGTTTCGTCTGCAACTGCGACAGACTTCATCAAAGAGATCTTGTTAGGTTATATGTACCTAGATTTACTCAAAATGCTGCCGACCCAAATCTACTTAAACCGTATAAAATCTCCAGCATACAATGAATAATGTTCCAACAAGACGTTACTCACAAACTGTGCCAAATTATTCAAACGACAGGTTTCACGATTGCTGCATAGGCCGAAGGAATGCAACTGAGGGGCCTCCTCGGTCTCCCGATTTGAACCTTTCAATCACCAAGTGATCATCTTCAAGAGGAAGATTTGTTTAATTTAATGTTCCACTTGAAGATGATCACTTGGTGATCGAAACACGTGTCGAGGTGTTGAAAATAACGGTTGGTGTTGGAATATTCACATTTGTATGGGTGTATGGAATAACTTTTTAATGGGATGATAAATTTAATCCAAAATCCACCCCCTCAAAGAGCCTGAAAAACTTAAAAATCATGTTTTTTTTTGTTGAATCGATCACTTGGAATAACATATCTATAGGTCAAAGAATAGTGATAAGACGTAGTTATTTTTATCAATCTGAGTGTAAATGTAATCGAGAAGATGGTAGGAAGCTGTTTCAATGGATCTCTTTTTAACAAAACCGTGCTGAGAAGTTGAAAGTATGTTGTTGCTTTCCAAGTAATCGGTTATTCTATTTACTATTAATTTGGATAAAGAACAGAGCAGCGATATTTGCCTGTAATTGTCAATTTCCTGGCACACAAGTACACAAGAATATTTGCAGATCGGTTCATTTTTTTTAATGATTATAACAAATCCTGTGTATTCATCAACAACCCTATCTTCCGCGGGTAACTGGATATGAATTTCGGGTCACTGAATGCCCAGACCATCAATTTTTATGAAAGAAGTTACTCCCCTTCCTTTGCTCAAAGAAAGGAGGATTTCAGCAACGCACCTCAAACTTGTTTTGAAGAAAATGCATTGGCGGGTTGAGGTACATTGATGGGACTTGACTGGAAAGAATAGTTATTTTCAGTTTCCGAAAGGTTTTGGTCACTTCGAAAGTTTATTACACTTTGCTTTGAAAAACGAACAAACTTGCATTACAGAAAAATATCAACAAATATCTGCTTATTTCTATTAACTGTGTCGTCGAAATCTGTAACATTGTTCTTTGAGGTATTCATTGAAAAAATATAAATGATGTCTTATGAAAAACACATCATTTATGTTTATTATCACTATTTTTTTCTACTCAAGCTGTGTTGGTGATTCACAAAAATATTATGGTTTTAAAGTCTATATTGTTTTATCATCATTATTATCATGCTCGGTGTTAACGGAATCAACTACTATAATTGTTATCCTCATGTCCTCATTATCGAATGGGGATTCGATAATGAGGACATTAGTTTGGTTTCTGGGTTCTATGTCTGGCACGAATATATGAGAAAAGATCTTATTTGTCATGGAGTGTACGAATAGCCAACCAAGAGCTGCCAGCAATACGATATAGGTTCTTCCTAAGTGGTTCAGTTGAACAGAAACACTGTTTCTCAAAGATAACCTGCTCCTGGAGTAGTATAAATGTCACCCTTCCAACAATGATGACATTACGTTTCGCTAGCACAAGTGGCTGGCTTCTTACGAGGTTTATTCATCTTGATGATTCACCGATCGGTGATCATTTATGATCAAATATATAACGATATTAGAATGATAATAACACTTAATCAGCATGGATTCATGTCCAAAAGGTCTACCGTAACAAACCTGGCGAGTATAACTGAATATATTTCTTGTAATATCGATTCAACAGAACAAGTTTATGTCATCTATACCTACTGATAAAAAAAGCCTTCGTTCAGATTAACCACTTCCTACCTTTGAAAAAACTTCAAAGAATCGAATAGGATTTCTCAAATTTCATCTGTCAGATCGCATTCAGTTTGTCGAGTATGGAAGGCTACTTCAGGAGTGCCCCAGGGGTGCAACCTGGGGTCATTCTCATTCTCAATTTTCATAAATGTCATTTCGGTAAGGATCACATGCCTTCATTCAGTTTTCGCGGATGACGCAAAGATTTATTCAGTAATTAAGTCCATAGCCGGTCGTGGGTGCTTTGTTCACCCACTCAAATCGACCGCCGTGTTGGTCGGTGATTCAAGCCGCAGGCTGAATCGTTTTTCACTTATTGCTATCGTCCAACCGTTGTAGAGAACCACACGTCAAAAGGTAAGACATCGTTGGTCGTTAGCTCACACAACTTTCGACTTCTGAGGGTTGTCGTTCGTAGGGGTGCGACAGCTGTTTAAAGGAAAAACAGGACTTGCTTGAAGAAGTTCGAATCTGGTGTTGTGAGAGCAGACTTCAACTCAATGTAGATAAATGCAAATTACCTACTGTCTTTCTGCAGAAAACTTCATCCAATCATTTCCGAATATTCCGTCTCTCGAAAACGATGTTTGAACGAAGGCTTACATTTCGCACTCATATAACTCACATTGTGTTGTTGGCGTTGAAGCTATTGGGATATTTTTCCAGAAACTGGGGAAATTTTTCAAATGTTAATACGCTCAAATTGTTATAAGTTACTTTCATAAGAACTAAGGTAGATTATGCATCCTTAATTTGGACTCCATTATATCAATATTCCGTTCAGTGATTAGAGTCTGTTCAGCGAAAGTGCTTGAAATTCACATGTCTTTTAAGTGCAATGGATTATATCCAACTAGAGGCAGAGAACAGAATATTTTAATAAACACATTCAACTAAGAAGCCCTAGAAGATAGAAGAAAATGCACCGCGCGATTATGTTTTTGGTTAAACTCTAGAACAACGAAATTGATTGTAGTGACTTGTTAAGACAAATTCACTTTCTTGTACCTAGATCACAATCCAGGCATATGATTACTTTCTACAATAGGACTCCTAGGACAAATTTATTGAAAAAGTCGCTGATATTTGCAATGTATGAGTTGTTCAATAAAGTGTGTGATCTGTGCGATACACATCATGACAGCAAACAGTTTATTTAAAGAACTATAAAAATTTCATTGTTACGATTGTTTTCCATTTTCTTTCCATTTTTGGAATCTGAATCTTTTTTTTTTATATACTGTATTTTCTTTATCTATTTGTGGGTATGAACCTGTTGAGAATCTGTCTGATATTTCATCAAAATCTTTTCGAAACAGCAAGTCTATTTGAAATTGTAATCTAGTGACATCTTCAATGTCAGAGTCTTGAAAACGGGATCTTGTAAGATCAAAATGATCTAGAAACCGACGCTACTGCCGAAACAAATAACGAAACTTTGCAAGTAGAAACATCAACCCCTATTTGCAGATTGTCAAAACCTGTTTGGCCTTATTGCGACTCATCATCCGTAAAGATAATCTGTGAACACAAAAGAGTTTTTTACAATTCGCACTATATAGAATACCACAGCCATAGAGATATAGGGTTTGAATTTTACATTATTATCGGAAAGTAAAGCAAACAGTTATGACCACATATGAATATTTTAACAATATGTGCACGTGTTTCTCAACACAGGAAATTCATTAGTTCCGTTTTAAGCCTGCTACTTCGTTATCGTCTGGTCGACTATTGTAGTTTGAAACTGACCGATGGTCAATTGTGACCTAAAACCGTTTATGCTTGAAATTATGCAAATACTAACCTCAACACGGACAAAAAATATTTTCACACAAAGAGTGATGTTCCTTATTTAGAGCGTGTTTTATAATAAAGTACCTAGTTTATTGAAACTGGATTACCTAATTAAACAGCAAAAATAGATAAATTTGTGAAGAACAGAGCAGCAGCGTATATTTTCAAAAAACCAAAAGGTATATACATGAATCGGTCTTCATGGATGAATAATAAACAAAATGGTACTAATATTATCTAGGGTTTCTAATATTAAATAGTGTTTAAATTGAGTCAGGTCCACGATGAATCGTCTAACTTTGCTAACTATATTGTGTCCTAATTTTTACGAATTTGAATATTATAAAACTCATAAACTTCACAATAAATCAATCACTGTTTTATAAATGTAAGTAAATACGTTTTTAAAACTTGTATCCCCTCATTATAACTACAAATTTATTGGTGTTGTCTAGCAGAACTCAATATTATTCTAAATAAATCGGTGTTACGGCTTCAGTAATGTAGCATTTTATTAAAGTGGAATAAAATGAAATTTCAACAGATTTCTTTTGAAGGTTAGTCTAACAGGCCTTCTTACTGGTCACTGTCATTTGAATCATCATATGCAGGAAAATGATGAAACTGCAGAGCATATACTTTGTGCCTGCCCCGCTGGGGATCGAATCAGGTTCTTTGAGTTCTTTCAAATGTATATAGCCCGAGAAATTTGAACATCAACTTTTTTTTAAGAGTCCTCGTATAGGTCTTAGAAAAATCTATTTCACAACACGAAATCACTCAATATATGACCGAACCTATTCTTATCAAGCCATTTATTGTAAGACTGAAAAACATTTGAAACAATTTTCTTCATTATTTCTGAGATGTAAATTTAAGAAAAATCACCTGAATAAACAGTTATCCAGAAAATAAAAAAAAACATTTTTAATTAACTTATTTTCAATTTCCTTTAAAACGCTTTCTTCTTGTTTAATAAAAAAAACGAATTATTTCCAACAGGAATACCCAGTTACAGGAAATGCTATTATTACAGAGTATATATGAAATAAATATTGAAAATAATAATTATAATAGAAATGTATAAAAGTAAATGCTGAAACAAAGTATATATAAAATATTCGTATGAGTAGAATTTCAAAAGAGGAATGAAAAATTGAGTATATAACACAA